ATGCTAATATGCTTATAAATAAAAGGAAAATACATTAGTGAAAACCACAGGGTATGTTTTTTGTTTACCTGAAATCATATCTATTAAACTGTTCTTGGAATAGTCTTATAAAATCACCTTGTATGGCAGGGTACCTTGTAATGCACTGATATCATCATTTCCAATTTTTCTTAAGCAGAACAAAACTAAACACAAGAAAAGCACTACATGTCACTGCTTTCACTGATGCCCACCCACTAAGCTGCCTGCAAGTTCTGTGAATTCAGAGGGCTGAAGATGTACTTTCATCCTCCTTCCTGCTCAGTCTTGGTGATAACACAAATAAGGCAGGTTTGCCCTTATTCTTCCTCCAACTTTTTAAAGATACGGAAATCTTCGGTACAACTGCAAATCCAAAGTATTTTATATCATTGTTCTTTCACACGACTCTTCAAGTAAGAGGCAGAAGGAAATATACACACTTAGTAGTACTATGACTGTCTTCCAAGACAAAAAAAATCTTAACTTACCAAAAACATACCACAGCATGTTTTACTTTAGAAGTGTTTTAACTAATATTTCCTTCCTCCAGCTATGCTCTGAAACCAACAGTGCCCATTTTCCCCTGCACAAATTTCATGGCTTTTTTTTTGTAGATCATGATCTTATGAATATTTTCATAAACACTGAGAAATCATAAATATAAAAATAAAATTTATTTGACATATTACAAATAAAATTTAGCAAACAGAAAAATCTTCAACTCCTTTTTAGTATAAAAAGCATGAAAAGTAGACAAACCCATCAAAAGCAGCGGTTGCAGTTTTGGTTTCCAACAACACAGCTCTTAATGGCAAACTAACCTGAACTATAGAACCATAAACACAAGAAATCACATTAACTGATGATTCTGAATATGCATTTCCCCAGTAAATTAAAGTATTCAATAAAATATGCAACTGTGGCAGCAGTTTTCCCAATAAACATCATCTGCCCTGGAAGACTAAGATTACTTTGGCAAGGTGGAGAGGAAAGCAGTAGACGATATTGGTGTAGCGGATGGTTCCAGTCAGGGGCAAAAATGGGATGTGAGAGAAATTTTACAGCACTGCTGGATATTTTTCATGCGTGACATAAGAAAAAAAAAAAAAAAAAGCATAGCAACAAACTTCCCTGTTATCTTAAAACAATTTGATTTCATAACATCCAAAGCTATACCTCTGTATAGAGCACAGAAAAAATGTGTAACAGCAATCTATTTTTAAGGTTTCTGCCAGATGGATAAACACCTCAAACACACCCACAGATACTAATGAAAACCACCTTGGCCTCCTTCAGGAAGTCATTCAACACTTCACAGAAAAAAATAGGAAGTTGTTGATAAACTGCTTGCAAGAACTACTTCCTGTAGGAAAAATAATTACAAGACTGGTTTGCTGGACAATCAGTTAACTTCTCCTCACGCTACAAAATGAGAAGTATTACACAAGCTTTGTAAGAATTAAAAGCCTAACACTAAGTTAAAATTATGCAAGCGTAATTCTAAAATTGAACAAAACATTTTTTTCTTTCTGCAAGTTGTTATCTGCTACTCCCATGGCATATTATCTTTTGCCTAGAGAGCGATCCCCTATCTTTCTCTATAGTTCACTGAAATGTCAACCAGCAGCTGGCTAACAGGAAGTGGTTAAAAAGCAATGCAGTTGACATCACCACACAAACCATGCAAGCCTTTTTTACTGCACGTTTAAGAATGGGCTAAAGCATACTGCACAGCAATGCTGAGATGACTCAGACATGACCACTTACTAACCTGGCAGGTCTTAACTTATGAGTTCCATTTAACCTGCAGTTTCAGTAAAAAATAGTATTAGTTTCACCACCTGCACAGCTAGCATGTCTTAACACACTGGCCAAAATCATCTGCATTTTCACTAACAGAAAATTATACTCAGGAGTCCTTCTCATAACAGCGAGATGAGCGCTAATAAGTGGAATTCTGGCAAATTATATGTTGGGCATTCATACATAAAGGGGTCTCTATCTAGATGACATACTGATTTACAAGAGTAGTTCTGGTTCAGACCCTGCACTACCACTCTTACTCTCTTTTAATATGTATGGATTTGTGTGGTGTGTATATAAAATATCTCTCCAAAGAACTCTGAGCATGTATCTATATATACAGATAAATATTTTCTCTCCCATACACACTATTTTCATTTCTCTGCACAAACTACAATGATTGCAGTGCTGGGCTCACTGATTAGTGGAAATTACTATATTCCAGACTGTATTAAGTATGGTACTCAATTTTATAATATTCTGTTTGCACTGTAGTATACTATGATAACTATAACCATAAGGCTTACTGACATCTGGAAAAAATCTAATACTGTTACCTATTTTGAAAAGATCTTTCTAGAGCCTGATTACCAGACTGTTCATGGAGTGGCTACAGAACAGAGCAAATGGAAACAAAGAGCAATGCAGCCAATCCAACAAAAAAGCTGAATACTTGGAAGAGACATCAAAAATCTGCATATGGTAGAAGGAACCACATTAAATGTATTTAGCATCAGGAATCATAGTACTCACTCTTCAAGCAAATGTTTAAGGTGTAACTAGAGTCAAGATCTGAGTTTTAAACAGGCTCATAGGTATGAGATCGAACTTACCACTCAACACTGAAAAAAGCTTCTGAAATATAAACCTGCTACTCAAAAACAATTCTTACATTTCTTTGGGTTTCCTGAACATACATACAAAGCAAACATTTTGCTAGTACTTGAAATGTTTTTTGCAAATCTTCATGAACTCAAATGAAGTTGGTGGATCTCACCTGTAGAGAATATTAAATAACCTTTTAGGAACAAGAAGTGTTCCTCAGGTGTGAACAGACCCTTCAGAACTGTCCTCATTAGACTCTCCCATGCCACAGCATCACCCAAGGAAAGCCAAAAGAAAACAGCCCATTAAGCTGTTTAAAATCTCCCAAGGTCAGCATGTGACCCAGCAGGGAGAGGTTCAAAAAGTACAGCCTTTATTTTTCTTCCTAACAACCTGGTTTGTTTCCACTCCTTTCCCCTTCAAGACACATCCTTCACAGCTAGCAGCTCTTTCAATCATTTACTTTGGATGTCTGCTTGAGAACAAACGATCTTGCTCATGCAGATGAGTTTGCCAGACTTGTGTGTACTTTCCAGTCTCAGGCTCTTTATTGTTCTTGCTGAAACCTGACCCTTTGAAATGGATACCAGGACACCAAGAAAGGACAAAAAAACTTGCAGAAAAAAAGGAAAAGATTTCTTGTGGTAATAATGAAACTGCAGAAAAGCTTTCCAAGAACAAATCTTTCACTCTGATTTCACCTGAATTAACATAATTTGAAAAAAATCAGTCAGATCCTGAAGACATTTTGCTTCTCTTAAACTGTTCTATTTTCTGTAAAATTGACAGCATTAGCAAAAACAAACACTTATGACACTAAAACTTAAAAATCAAATATCTGGTTTTGATGCTTCATAAACTGCTCTTTTAAGAGCTCTCACTAGCACAGCCAGAGTTTGCTTTTCATTTTAAAACTCCGTCTGTGCTTTCCTCAAGGTTCAGTGAGCTACAATTCTCAAAGGGCATAAACTTACACAGTTCAAAATAGATTTTATTTGCACCCACTGAAGAGCTCACGTTCTAGAATATGTCGATTTGTTAAACTTCACCAAAGAAAATATCACATCCTCAAGATCTATAGCTAATGCTTATTTTCACATTCCTAATACAGAATGATCGTTTTCAAAAAGTAACCTCTAAGCTAAAATACTGTCAAGACAACTGCTGGAATCTCTTTTTGGCTAAAAAAAAAAAGAAAAAAACAAAAACAAAAAAACAAACCAAAACAAAAACCACCAGATTATATTTTCTCTGTATGGAAACACCATCACTATAGGAACAAGAAACAGCTTTAGTAAGTTCTGCAAGTTCCATTTTCATTGCAGACAATGTAAATTTGTTTTTGAAGCTACAGACTCAACTACTTCAATCAAATGTACATATTAATTACAATGTTTTAGCAAGAAAGGTAGCGATAAAGATGTTTTTCTTGGCTGCAACAAGTTTTACATAAATAACGCACTGTGCTGCCCTCTCCTCTCCCGGCCCTGAAAATGACATACAATGTGTTATTTAGAGACCTGCAGTTAAATATAATGTTCAAAATATAGTCAAAATATTTGAGGGCCAATTATGTGCCTTGGTGGGCACACTTTCAGAAAGAAGGACAAGCTCCTGCTGTTTTAGAAAACTACACAGCATAAAAGAAAATGCTCCCTGATGAATTTGGTGTCAGATGCCTGGCAAGTGTAACCTCTCCAGTTATAAAATAAAGGTGATACTAATTTCACTGTGTGAAAAAGCTACAGCTGTAGGAACAAGATACAATGTTCAAAGTTCTACAATTTCCCTTTCACTGCAGGGAATGTAGATGACCCAAATACTGCACTCAAATGCATATATTAATTTCCTTATGATTAGAAAGTAGGCAAAACTGTTTTGATTGTGTACTTACACAATTGTCCTTGTTCAAAATATAAGAAGTCTTGACATATTCTCACCACAATAGCTTTTAAAGTAACTCTATATTTTTACATTTGTGTCATAAAGATGAGGTAAAATGTATTTTGACCTGCATAAGAACTCTGGCAAGATTCAGTAAATCCAAAAGTCACATTGTTTAAAAATCACTATGCACATTTCACTCATTTTTAGTATACAATATAATGAATAACACTCTTCAGCTAAGATTAAGATAGGATAAATATTCACAGAGTACCATACAGTTTCCATAACCAGCAAAGAGTTGATGGGGGAGCAATACTGAAGTGGTAGGATGTCCTACTTAAATTCAGGAGCATGTTTTTAAAAATACATCTTTTAAACACAATGAAATTTACTAAAATTCAAAGACTATTAAAAACAAAAACAAATGCCAAAGATACCACTAATTGAAAACAAGTTTTACTTACTTAAGAAAGTATCTCTGTCCTGATGGTGTCTTAGCCATCTCCCAACCTGGTGGCAAAGGTACATCATCAGGGATCTCAAATGAAGACTGGCGGAGATGTTGAGAAGATGGAGCTCCGGGTCCAGTCACTACTCCAGAGGGTGTAAGCGTCCCTGGAGAAACTGCTCCCAGCTGCAGTGATGCTGGGGAGGAATGAGCTCGGACATGCTGTGGGGTCAGGGCTCCTGCTGTCCCTGCATCAGTGCTGGCCTGCCAGGAGTGAAATTATTTCCATTAACATTCTTATATTTCAGCAGAAATGCAGCTGTCAGATGACATTTCACTTGAAATGAACCTTTCAGAAGAAATTCGTAGGTTAGTCATTCTCAAGTTCTGCTTATTTTCCAGCTGTTGCTGTTCAAGAGAGCCTCCAAGTAGGTTGGTTAATTAGCATCACAAAAGCCCTTATGTAAGTCAAGAAGTATTAACTGTAAGTATGTGCTAAGTGTCTTTAGTTTTATTTTGAAAAGTAAAATTCTTACTCCTTGGTGCAGGGTTAAGAAAAAAACATGCCTGCTCAGCAGTCCTCATACAGCATACTGCCTGGTTCATTACTGGACTGCACCCACCCACTACCAGAGCACCCACTTTATGCCAGGTTTTAATTTCCCACTCTCCTTTTGAAATTGGGGTGTGGGGGTGCAAGGACACCCACTCATACACCCTTTGCAGGGGTTTAAAAGATTATGCAAGGAGAAAAGCAACAGAGAAATGCCAACTGACAGCAGTGAGTTCCAGCAGAGGAAGACTCCTGAATTCAAACCATAAAAAAAAAAAACACTCTATACAAGACTGAACACAAGATTTCTTAGCCCACATATAAACTGCACTTTTAAGGGTATTGGAAGCTTACAGAGTCTGCCCATGCTTTAGCCAAAGCAAAGCTTCAACAGACTGTTTAACAAGTCAATCAAAAATGACTCACAAGATCATTCACCAGTTACCAGTCACAAGCACATAGGACTTCCTTGCCAGTAGTAAATATGTGTCTGCCGTGAAACACAAAAAGCAGCTCTGAAAACTGGATTAAAGTAATCTTGACCTTTTTTTTAATATATTTAACAATTAATTGATTTTGTAGATACACCAGAAGATATGGACACCCATAATAAGATGCATATATCAGCCCTTGCCACACCTCTCCTCACAAGGTATTGCACCATACAAGAGGCCCCGCTTAAGATACTCTTGTGGAGACTGACAATTCTGTTTCACTACATCTGTATGGAAGTACATGTGAAGTTTCATATATTAAACTGAAAACTAATTAGCTTATGTTCAAACAAAATATGCAAGTTGCAAATTAACTGGACTTGAGACATTTTAACTCTTGAGAGAGAGAATTACTGAAACTTGAAGACCTTTTCTGTTAAACAGAATTTTTGTGGCACAACGAAACAAAAAGGAAAATTAACCAGTCTTTTTTAAAAAGTTAGACCACAATGAAGCAGATGCTCCTCTGGCTTTAGCTGGATTTCAAGTTTATGTTTTAGGAACCACTGACTGGTACAAGGAACACTGATCCAACTAAATATGCATTACAGATGAAGAGTAATATACACAAGTAAGTTAACACTAAGCTTAAAAGTACAAGTTGTATGAATGTCACACGTTAAGTGCATTTCAAACATGGTAGCTACTTAACTGCAGTTACTGTATTTAACAAGACACAGCACCAACTGTTAGCTCAATGTATACTAGTTCACATTCATGCACAATGGAACTGCGATAAGACTTGCACAACTTCGAAAAAAATTACATGTAATAACCTTATTCCTCGTTGTATTTCAGTATGTTATTAAAAGTCTGCAAGTCAGAGGCAAGCAAAACTACAGAAGCAACTGAGCCCCACCCCTTTCTATTTTCTTTTCAGCCTTACAATATAAGGGCCAGACCGATTTTTTGAGTATTTGGAAAATGAATTAACTCCTAGGCTGAGAGAGTACGTGCCAAGGTTCAGCCTGGAGTGAACTTCTGAAGCCAAGTTATAAATCCTTCAAAACAGAAGTTTAATAATGGAAATGTTGACAGACCCTTAACAACAAGAGTACCAGGCACCAGTACACAGAGCAAGTTTCACTCCTACTGGCTACACAGATAAAGTGACAATACCCAATAAAAAAATCTATTTTATAGCTTAGCAACAAAGTTCATTACTTAATAAAACACTCGAGTAGGCACAGCCTCCTTCCAAAAAGTTGGTAGCAGCAGCCTAAACATTAACTTTCAGTCAGTCGTATTCGCACCAACACTTAGGTCTCGACACGAAAGTCACTGCTTAAAGACCAAGCGCTGCCGGAGGCCCCTGGGGCCCCGAGACGTCGGATTTCAAGCCGCTCCGGCCCAGGGTGCGGGCGGTTCACCCGGCGGACCCTCGACGCCGTCGGACCTGATGGGCGGCTCGGGAATTAACTTCTGAAGTGTGTGTGTGTGGGGGGTGTGTGTGCAATCCTACTTAGCCCAGCGCAGTGATGAAATGGTGGAAGAGCTACATCCATATTGTTTGACGGGGCGCGGGGGGGGGGGGGGGGGAGCTTGGCACAACCTCCTTACCCCCCTCAACAGACGGGCAAGGAGGATTAGACCTCAAAGAGAAATCCTCCTCGCCTTCCAAGCAAAGCGTTTTCACCCAAGTTTTAAGCCCCCCCCAGCTCCGCCGCCTTCCCGGTGAGGCCGAGCAAGCGGCCGCGGGTTTCGCCGAGGAGCGGATGTGGAGCCCGAGGCCCCGCCGGAGCCCGGGCCGGGGCCAACGGCCGCCGCGGCGCCGGCTCCCTCAGCGCCCTGGGGACAGGGGCCGCGCGGCGCCCCCGTCCCCGAGGAAGAATAAATAAAGGAGAGAGGAGGAGGAGGAGGGCGGAAGGCAGGCTGCGGGCTCCCCGGCAGTCCCGGCCCGGCGCCCCCCGCCCCGCTCAGCCCCGCGGAGGGCGGATTCCCGCCCCGGCCCCCTCCCCCACACGCCTCCCCCGGGAGGAGCCCGACGGCGGCGGGGAGGGAGAGGGAGAAGGAGAAGGAGAGAGAGAAGGAGAGGGAGGGCGAGCGCAGGGCCGAGCCGTCCCCCGCCCGCCCGCGGCGCGGCCGCCCCCTCCCCCTCACCTGGCGGGAGTGGGCCTTGGGCTCGGGCGGCTTGAAGAAGGAGTCGGGCAGCTTCCGAAGCCGCATGGGCAGCGTGTGCGGCACGTTGGCGCCCTTGGGGTTCATCACGGCGTTGAACAGCGCCTCCAAGTCGGTCTCCGAATCGCCCCGCACATGGACGATCTGGTGCCCCGCCGGAGGGGGCCCCGCGCCTGGGGGCTGCGCCGCGCCGGCCGGGGCCCCCGACACCGCTCCCGGGGGCTGCGGCGGCGGCTGCTGCGAGGCGGGGGGCTGCGCTGGCTGCGGCGGCTGCTGAGGTTGAGGCTGCCCGGGATCCATGGCTCCGTCGGGACCCCCCCCCGGCGCTTCCCTGGCGGGGCTCGGCGGCTCAGAGCCCGGATTCCCGGCCCCGCATGCCCCGCTCCCTGGGCCGCGGCTCGTCCCGCTGTCGCCGGTGCTTTTCGCCCCTCGGCAGGGAAACCGACCCGGCCGCAGCAACTGGCAAAACAACTCTGTCCGTACGGCGCTTCCCCGAGCCCGGCCCAGCCCGGCCGGCGCCTCTGTCCCGGCGGCGGAAACTAACTCGCACAGCACACCAAACAAAAGTTGGGAGTTACGCCCGCCCGAATCACTCTCCGCCGTCGGCTCCGCCCCTCCTGAGCCCGCCCGCACCGTATCCGACCGAGGCAGCCTGTGCGGCGCGGCCCTCCTGCGCGCGCCCGCCCGCACCGCCTCCCGCTCGGGGGGCGCCCGGCACGGGGGGCGCAGCCCGGCCCCCCGCGGCCTCCCCCCCGCGCACCCCCCGCAGCCGCCCTGCCCCCGGGCTCGCCTGTCGCCCCACTGCCCCTCCCTGCGCGCCCGCCCGCCCCTGACCCAGCTGCCGCCCGCCCGCCTTCGGCTGCTAGAGAGCGGTGCCGCCAACCAGTACTTTTTTTTTTTTTTTTTTTTTTTTCCTAACTCCCGAACTTCTATCCCAACTTCCAGGCGGCCGCGCTCTCCTCCCCCGCCCCCCCCGCCAGCCGGGAGCCGCCGCCGGGCGGGGGCAGCGCTTCCCCCCATCCCCTCCCCCCCCCCACACACGCGTCCCGCCCGGCGGGTGTGAGGGGGGGCTCGGCCAGGACCCCCCCTCTCGCAGCGGGGGCAGCCTCGGGGCCGCGGTGGCGGGGCCCGGCCCGGCCCGGCTCGGGGTGAGGAGGCGGCCGGGCCCGGCCTCACCTGGCGCTGGCGGGGCGGCCGCGCCCCGGGCGGTACCGGCTTCCCGGGGCTGCGACCGCGCGGGACGAAGCGGGGGCTGGCGGGGAGGGGAGAAGCTCGGTCGGTCGGTCGGCGTGGGCCGGGCCGGGCCGGGCCGGGCCGCCTGACGCACTTTCTCCCCATTCCGCAGGGATTTCACTGACTATCTAGAGTCTACCCCTCCATTTGTGCGTCGTTGGTCTGAAAAGCTAGTTCATACAGAGACAAGACACCTAGAGAAATACCTTCTATTAGATAAAACGGGTGAGGGAAGGGGCAACAACTGCCAAGAAAACAACTTGAAGTATGCCTTTTAAATACAGAAAAACTGGTCACTAGCCACATAGCAACATCTGTGCGAACGTGTAACCGTTCAGCGCGTGTAACCGAGGAGCACATCCTCCCTTCTAAAGAAACTAGGCAGCTTCTACCTGAATTCGTGCAGAGAGGAGGCCACCTCCGTTACAAAACGGGTCAACGGCCAGGTTTATAACTAGTTAGTAAATAAACTTCCACCAAAACAGTGATACAGAATATGCACGTGTCGCTTGCAGGGATCCACAATCAAGTAGGCAAAAGTCTGTTCGTGGCTTTTGCTTGAAGGGTAACACAGGCCATTATCATCCTGAGAGGAAGTAATAAAAACAGTATTAGCAACAACATAGACACCCATGAGAGAATTCATAAAATCTGAAATGTAGTTTTGTTCCAGTTGTAACAGCTTATTTTGTGGCAAAATAGAATAAATACGCCGTAGATTATTTAAGCAGCACTATGTCTCCATGAGTATCCCAACACTAGGAAATGCACAGTAGTTCTGTCTGCATAGTTCCAATCACCTTGAGGTAAATGTAATATTAATATAAAATGTAAAATTAAACATGTACACATGTTTTTACACAATTAGAGCCTAAAATACAGATGATAAAATATACAACGGTCCAATCATGTTTCCTTTGAATGAGAAAAAAATTGGAGAACTTTATATTGATACATAAACCTATTCTATCAGTAATTCTGTCTCAACATTTGTTAATGCATCTGTTCAGTTTCAATTATTTGCATTTAAGGAAAAATCTCATTAACAACTTCGAACAGTTCTTGAAAACATTTTGTGTACCAGTCTCCTGAAAGGGTTTGAAGGGAATCTAGGCACCTAGCTCCAGAACCCTCATTCTGAAAAAACATGTTCAGTTGACAATCAACACAAGAACTGGGCTCTTCAATTTAACATCCCACGTCTGCCCGTGTCAATAAAAGCTTCAGCACTGACGAGGCAGCGCAGATTGACATATGCTTCAAATCCAGTAGGGATCCAGAAACTAGATGGGGGGATTTTTGGAGTGTTGATATATTTTTTTATTCAGTCAGTCTGGCAATTGAGTGTCTGAAAGATCAACAAATATGTAGCTGACACCTCCTTTCTTTTAAAACACATAACAGTTTCCTCCTGCTCCTCAACACCTCTGTACAACAGCTGAAAAGATGTAGGTTCTGTTCCGCTTTTTTGCCTGAGGGAAATTGCTATATTGCATATATTGTCCATTTTCTCGAGGAAAATTTTAAACTCCTGGACTACAGACTATTCCAGACTAGAGGCACATCTCTCACATTCTTTTGTTGAAGCTGTCTTCCTTTGTGTAAAATAGTTCATCTTTTTTTGGACCAAGAAAACATGAAAATTGTAGCTTCTCTCAGTAGTTAAGGCAGTCAGCTTAGGAGGAAAAGGTCTGGGTTCCAATTTCTGCTCCAAGGAGCATTCGTGAATTTTATCCGGTAGCTGTTACTGGTACCCCATTTTCTATTCCATTATTTCAAAGAGGATGAACCCCCTACTGTATGTTCTGGTGTCTTCCTTTGGGGAATTATTCAAGATCATAAATCTTAAGATAAGCACCACCATAAAAGCATCATTTAAGACAGGTAGAGATTTGATAATGTTTATTCACAGCATTTTCCAATGGTAGTCAAATGCCGCAAGCTAAAAATAGCATTCTGTTTTTAAGCAACGCAGCATACAAGCCCTGTAGCTCCCATTTTAAGATGCCTAGCTCTCTTCGAGTGTTTTTTAGGGACACATGTATCAAACACTGGATTTTCAATTGCAGTAAGGAGAGCAAACTTTAAGATTTTACAGTACTCGGCATCACAATGCCTTTGGAGTTTGATCCAAAAATGACCTAAGCTCATGCACAAAACTGAAAAAAAGCAAGAGAAGACCAACATCAAGATGTGATTGCTTGTTAAACTTTTTTCCCATTTCTACTAAAGATCCCGTTCCTGCAGTCCTTATGGAATTGGCCGATGCTGGTTGAGGTTTTGACTGCTTAAAGGCAATGTTAGCACACTAAAAATTTGTTCAACAACTCAAGAACAAGAACGAGTTAAGTTCTGGTGATGAGGCATTTCAAGAAACTTGAGAAAACACCAAACCTGGTATCAGGAAAATAATAAATATAATTAATTAAATGAAAAGAGTTCTTTGATTTATCTGAATTAGTAAAAGAGGTCATAAACCCCTTAAAATACTTGAGCATAAAGGCCCTGGAATTTAAACAGAGTTTCTCTGTTTTTTAGAGCAACAGGGTGCGTGTACACAAATTAAGAATCATACCAATTCCATCTGCAGCGTGGACTTCAGTTCAGACGTGCAGGGGGTGTAATGATTGATTTACTGATGTTAGAGTAGGATCATTTTATTTTTTCTTTGTAGGAACATAGATAATCAGCTGATGATTTGAGAGTACATATGCATAGCATAATGCATAGCATAATACAGAAATAAAGATACTGCTGAACATCTCTCAAAAGTGGATCATTTAATCAACTTTTTTTTTTTTTTTAAAATACTTTTTGAGTAAACTATGCATCACACTGATTTCCAACGCTGCCTTAGTTCCAGTTCAGGTAAAGAAAATTCTAAAAATATCAGTTAGCACCCAAATATTTCAGTTGTAACAAGATTTCATTACATGCAGCCCCAAAGCTCTCATGGGTATTTAGAGTTCAACAGAGTACTTGGTACAAAGATTTAAATATATTTATCTTGTGATGCCCAGGTCTATAGAATCTTGATGCTAAAGAGATTTTCCAACATTTATAACTCCACCTTAATACCTTGGAATACTTACATCTTTAATAGTGTGCTTTTTTAGCTATTGTTTCCAAAACAAGGGCTTCTTAGCCACAGCTTAAAAACCAAATAAAGAGGGATTGTGTCAGGATGGTGTTATATAAAGTTCTTAATTCCTGACTCCATTTGTATTTGTGAAAATATATATTTATTTGTACATTTATGAATCCAGCTTGCAAAAATGCATGTTCTTCTAGCTTCTCAGCTGCTCTTCAAGTCATTTTTACCAGAACAGTTGTTATTATTTATGTCATGCTAAGAGAGTATGTCCATTTCTTTCAGATAGAAACCAAGAAAACATGGCTTAAATATTGTCAGCTCAACTGACACACTCTTCAGTTATTTACCAAATGAATTCAGAAACTAAATCTATTGCAGAAATATAATTATCTCTTTGAGAGAAACTTTTCATCATAAGCAGAAGACATTTGTGCTCCAGTAGGTTCCATTCCTGTCATTGCCAAGTACAGTTTAAAGACTTCTGACCCACAGAGCCATCAAACCATCTGGATACACCCATCTAAGCTTTCTCTACTCTGAGAGAAAATTCTTCAGGATGTTTGTTACTGGAAACCAAAATTTCAGAATTCTTCTTCACCTCACAAATTTTCAGAATGTGCAGTAAAGGCCAATTTTCTCCCAAGGCTACAGAGAGGATAGCCTGCTCTGTATTTACACTGGATTTTCTTTTGTCCATCCACTTCTTTGTTTTCAAAAAGTTGCCGAAGTTTGTCTTTTTTTCTTTTACTCTTTTTTAATACTGATGATATTTAATGTATGGCAAAGACAGTTAGGGGAGCTCTTAAATATCATGCACCTGCCTACACGTAGAAATCTGCACAGTTCACATCAATACATTTCATCCAGAGACAAGAGGAAACTAATAACAGAGGAACATCAAGTTAACAGGGTTTTTTTTTTTTTATTTTTTATTACAGTCTGCAGCCTAGTAGAAAGGTAAATTTTGATATACCCATAAAGTGCTTATTTTCAAAAACCTTTCAAAAGCCTTTTATGAATCACACATAGTATTTAAAAGATGATGACCCCCAGATGAACAACTGGGCTATTGGCAATTTACAGGGAAGTTTGTGCAGTCTGAAATGACATCCACTAGTTCTTTTGAAAGTGAGTACATTATCTGACATTTCAGTATTACATATTCTGGTTACTCAAGAAGAATTTGGAGTAGTTCATCCTACTGTAAAAAGTAAATGACAGATATGCTGAATCTAGTAAACATGAAGCCAGTTCTCCAACTTATCTTGATGGTAAATGTATGATTTTGCAAGAGAAACAGATAGGAATGAGACTTGACAAGGGAGGGGAAAAGAGGTTAGCAGTCATCTCACCACCTCAACCTTTTGTATACTAAACTTCTTTGCAGTCTTTACAGAAACAGATGCAATACAAGTTCCTCAGAAAGCTCTATCAATGTTTCCAAAAACAGAACTATACAAAGTAGAGAATGGATTCTTAATCCTTACTACTATCCTTACTACTACCTCGCGTAGATCTGAAACCAGACCTACTGAGACCTAAAGAAATGGTTTTTTTCATAAACTAGTTTCCAGATGACTATTGTGACATCAAGTGTAATCCAGTAAGCCTATTTTTAGTGAGCTACCAAATAAAATGTTAGTTGATGGTTATTGATGAAGAGTTAATAAAGACAGGAAAGCAGGATGAGATCAGGAAAAGAGTTCATGAATAAAAAGTGACAACAGCTATGGAAAAATAACCCTTTAAAGTGGAATTTTATGCTTTCTTTGTATAAACGGCAATTCATTATTTTCATGTTATGCATGTTACTTCCGGTAAAATCCTGTATCAAAAAATGATTAATACTCACATATGCAGACACCCTGAAGACTGTAGAAGTAATACATATTTCTTTAGTTTCAGGATTCTTTTGAACACTGAAATACAGGGGAATAATACATACTCAATATGTACACTGATATGTACACTGTAGCACTGATTATTAGAATCGTTTGTTTAATAAATATATTTTTAACCTATGCACTGTGTTCTTGCTCAAATTTGATCAAGTTCAAATTAAGTTAAAATTCAACTTATGTCACATTGACCATAAAAAGGTACATTGACCATTGTTAGATAACGTGAATATTATGACATTTTACTGAAAAGTATTGTATGTATCTAGTCATCTGACTTGGTTTCGCTGATTTCAGCTACGAAATCACAGCAATATTACCCAGGCTTAGATGACTCCAATCTAAAGTTTGCATTTTGACAGCTATGAAAAGTTATTAAGCTAAACATTTTGTAAAAATATTTTCACATTTTCCTTGAGAAAAAAACCTGTAAAATGAACTGCATCTTTAATACAGACTACAAGAAGTAGCAGCAGTACTGGTGAAGAAATGCAGACTTTAGCTCATTTTTAATTAATATATAATTACAGTTTAGGTTCATTCATCCTCCTTTGGAATGTTGTATATATAGAGAGCTATGCAATTTAGGACAGTATCAGTTCTGAATTTTTATATTTCTAGACTGTATTTGTTGTGAAGACTGTCATTTCTTCCATCACAACTACTAATAACACTAAGATAGTACTGAAGAGTATCCAGGCATCTCAACATATTTTGAATTTAAGTATTTTTAAATGTATCATTTTTCCCCAGGTCTGCTTTAAGTGATGCTTACATTTCTTCATAAATTAGATCACATAACTTCTATTAATGTATCTAATTTCACAAATTCCGGTTTACCTTAACTCACTGTGGAGCAGTTGAGCCTTATAAATTCCATACTTATACAGTTCCAAGAAATGCATAGCTCAAAACCTGCCTTGTCACAAACAAGTTCAGTTCCCAGGAAAGGTCCCGATACAGCCAAGTTGCTAGAGGATGCAAGTTAAACACAGCCCAGTTGTACACTGCACCAGCTCCAAGCTGCCTGTGACAGCAGTCCCCTATTACCACTGCTTTTGCAAAGCTTCTTGTTGTAAGAACAAAGAAAAGCCACATCAACCAACATCATCTTTGTTGATTCAATCTCCCCAACCAATAAAAGAAATTGACTCCCTGATTAACTGATTTCATCTGTAATGACACAGTCATGTATGAATTAAGCCTATACTGTGAAGTTAATCTTTCCTGTGGTGAGTCAGTAACGAGGCTTTCTCAGAAATTTTTGTTGCAACTGCCATGTTGATATACTCAACAGTGGATTAAGAAGGCATTGCTGAAGCTGGTACTGGCCCCAGGCATCTGCCTTACACCCCACTAGAGATTACTGCCTTCCCAGCAGGGACAGCTCAACTGGTTCATGACTCAGATTCTGACCACTGCAGTTTACAGACCAGCATATTAAGATAAACTAACATGGGTGTCAGTTTATGCTAACGTACTGGGCTGTAAACTGCAGCAGCTCAGAAACTGTTTAACCATCTCTGCTGAACGAGTGATAACTTTCAGAACAAGGTTAGTGGCAATAGCACTTTCTACCATATATCACCACCCCCAAAAACTACAACTGTATTTAAGTTACTCTGGCTTCATATTCTTGTGCCTGAAAACAATGTTTTCAATTTCTGGTTTCTTAATTTTTATGTTCTATATATCTAGGATACCAAAGTAAGGGGTGACAGAGAAGAAGTTTTCCTATTTATTCCACTGCCTTGAGAAATTTTCCCCTTGTGGTTAGCTTCCTGTAAGTAATTTTTCAGACTGAGTGTTTATTTCTAGTACTTTGGTTAATTTTCAAGGCAAAATAGTGTATCTGCCAAAATCAGATGAGATTCTTCCCTTGCTGACTTGAAAGAAACCAGGAGGTTGCCTTTGACAAGCTTGTTTGATCTATTTCTTTCTTTTTTATTTTTTTCCTATAAAAAAAAAAAAATAGAAATACCTACCTTGTATTTCCTTAAAAATAGTCTTAATACTCCCCTTCGTTATTTCAAATTGTTAACTTCTAAACTATTAATTGAATATGGTAGTTCCTTCATCATTTTGATGTGCATCTATTCTCTTTTTACGAAGGGCAAACTTCCTCATCGTCTCTCAATTCACTTTGGGTTCTATTTATATCTTGACTTTACCGGCAATATTTTATTAGGCTTTCCAAACATTAAAAGAACAACTCAATGCTTACACATAAATTCATTTATTATGGGGCATGGAGATGGCACAGAAGGAAGGAGAAGAGAACAATGACTACGGGATACTACAGCAGCTCTCACTATGGAGAGACACTGTCAGAAAAATCAGGGGTTAAGTAGAGAAGACAAAACTTATCAACAAAGATTCATATATTATATTTCAATTAACAAGTTTTTGTCATGTAAATGTATTCTCTAACTAAACCAAAAATACTACAACAAGGATTTTGAAATTACTTAGGTTACACAGGATACAACATCATGCTAAAATTTTGGATGGATTCAACTGGTCACAGACTAATTACTGCTGGATTACTAGCAGACAAGTTGTGCATTAATTCATTAGGAAATAATTATTACTCTTTTTACAAAGAAGAAAATGTCTGCCATTTAATAATTGTATTTAGAAGTCCCTAGCTATGCTTGTAAAATATCTAGAGCAGTTAACTTCAAAAGATTATTACATTCTCTCATAATAAAGAAATATGCATGGAAATGCTTTAATGAAATGAAAGCTCAAACTTTTTAACACTGTTTTGAACACTAGTGCCTTGGAGTTAGAACTCAGGAAAAGCCAGAAGGCCATCAGAAGTGGAGAAAAGCTCATAATAGATCTGCCACTTCCAGCATTAAAGACACTTTTATGGGACTCTTCATGCCAAGCCTCTTTTCCATAAGAAAAACTGTTACAGGACCAAACAGTGGTGGTTTATACCTCTGTAACCATATCATGATGAGATTAAGTTCATCTGTGGGGGCTAATTTTTCAATGCACATCAGACAGCAGCTGATAATTCCTGTACTATCTATTTGTTTTACACAATCCTTCTGAGCCCTGAAGACATAAAAATTAAAGCTGTACACTTTACAGAATTTTTTAATACCATGAAAAGTTTTACTATCACTTTACGAAGAGTAGAATGCAATCCAAGATGAAAAGAAACCAGATGCAGGATAGTAGTCTAGAAAAGAAGAATTTAAAGAATAGTTGGTATTCAACAGGAATTTGAAGGTGAACTGTTTGGTAAACAATTTAAGAGACCACTACTTTCATTTGCAGTTGTTCACTGAAATTAAAAGGCCATAAGAAAGTAGTTTTCATTGTTTTATTTTCTGATGTAATTCATGCAAAATTGAAGTAAGTAACACAGTGCACAGTATGGTCTAGAAATCATAAATTAAGTCAAGACTGTGGCATGAGTGTCCCTCTTCAGAGCTGCATTGCTTATCCTTTCACTGGCTTTTTCTCTTTTAAGATAGTAGTAACAAAACAGCAACATCATTTTGGATAAACTGACGGGAGGGGGAAATGAGACAAAGCAGGAGACAAGCATGATTGTGAAGGGGGAGGGAAAGTCTGGAGTGTCAAGACCAAAAGCATTTCTCATAGGACCAACAGAGAACTTGATATCAAAGGAGAAAGATAAAAGATTTAGTTAAATTGTGAGTTTCTTTTTCAACTGCTAGTGAGTGTTAACACCAGCTCCACTGGCAGTGAGAAACCAGCAGGCATTTATAGGCACAGAAATGGAGAGACATATAGTAGATAAATACTGAAGATCAGTTATGTCACGTGAACTGAGTAGATGCACTTCAGAACTTCAGAGGATAGAAAAGCAAGCTGCCAAAGGGGAAAAAAACAACCAACCAAACAAGCACCCGAACACCAAAAAACATAGGAATGGATCTTGAAAAGTTATCTCCTGATATTATATAGACAGAAGTAGCACACACAAGAAAAATCACAACAATATATAAAGGGCCAATAGGAAACCGGTTGAGAGTATAGAAAAAGCAAACTTTGAAAGCAGGATGAAATTGTGCAGAAGATTTTGGCAGATGCTTTTTTTTTTTTTTTTCAGTAATAAAAACTACTTGACATACTGAATTTTACATCAGGAAAATGAAAAAGAAGGGGAAAAGGCTTAAGAGGATAAGAAGTTAAAGAAGTGCCTTAGAATAAAACTTGAACATGGTTAGGAGAAAACAACAGCAAAAGGAAGCAATAAAGTGAAGAAACTGATTGGATTTGTGCTTTGTCCTGGGTCAGTTCAACAACACAAGAGCAGAAACAGCTGTATTCAATGCAGAGTCAACTAAGGCCAGGGATTAGAGTAACAAACAGCTTGTTTCAAGTGCAGATTTAAACGACTTAAAAGAAAAGGGAAGGTAGAGCTGAAGCACTGATGGATCCTTTTATGTCATATTCTGTATTTCTGAAGAAGCCACTTGATTTCCATCTATGTATGATATGAAAATATCAAACCTAATCACACCAATAGGAAATCTCTGGTGACTAATCCCACTATTCAAATGAATACGTGCAGCAATCTAAATTCATTATTGCTAAAATATCTTCTTGGAATATTAATAACACTCAATTTCTCTGTTTCAGTGGTTTCTCTAAAATTATCAACTGTTCTACCACTACTTTAATAATTTATTTTGGATGACCTTCGGAAAAAGCACATGGCTAAATCAACTCGCATCCTGAAAAGCACTGTCCGTTAGAAAATATGAAAGCTGCCTAGAAGTTATTAAAGATTTGTAAGCTTCTTTGGTTAAGTATTACAGAAGATTCCAAAAACCAGGACAATATTTTGTTTTAAATATTTTGTTTTGATACAGCAATCTATACACAAATGCTATAGAAGTAAAGAAATATTCAGGTGATTAAGAATGACCGGGACTAATACTTCCACTGTACCTTTGATTAGACATATAAATTTTACTCTTAAGTTTATCCAAAGACATTTTAAGAACAGACTTCATGGTGAATACATCTTACATGATTTTTTTCCCAATATGCTTGTGTATAATCTTAAAATAGGAGATGAAATAACAATTGGTTATCACACCATTCCAAATAGAGCTGAGAAGGAAGACAAATATCAGTTCCTACTTCAAGCAATTTGAGGCCTTTGTAGCATACATTGTAGTGCAATACTTAGTGTCAACATTATCAGAGTTCTTGTACTATCTCTCATTTCAGAGGTCTGCGACTGTTTTCCATTATTCAGGTTAATAATATTCTTTATACTATCCCATGAGTACTTATTATATGAGTGCCAAAATGTAACATCAAATTTTAGTAATATCAGTGGTCTTCATATTACCATTAGCTTAGCTAGGAATGAGTCTTTTCATAACCAATAACTACATTCCATTTCACACTAGCCAGGAAACAAGAAATTTTGTCAGTCGGAGCAGTCAGCATATGGATATATCAAAACAAGGCCAAAAATTGCCTTTTTTTTCTGAATTCAGACCTGGCAAATGATATGTGTTAGTCCACTGTGTCATGTTAACAGCCAGATTCTATCACCCTTAACTTTACACTGCAAGAAGTGTATTTTTGAAATTAAGAATGCCAGAAGTCAACTGTATTTAAAAAACAAAAAAAAGCTGGAATAAAATAATAAAATATATACAGAACTAAAAATTTCAACTAAAGTATTTAAATTTTAAAATCCTAAGCCAAAAGCAGCTGGAAAGTAGCCCAAGACTATACATCCAAGACTTAATTGTTGATATTTTATCAATGACAGTGGGAACACAATCAGGTTCCAGTGCCATACCATGTTTTCAGTAGACAATTACAGAAACAAAGATCTTTAAAATGGGAGTGAATTATAAAATGTCAATGTCCATATATATGTAAAATTAAAAAAGTTTTTTGTGTAGGACATGCCATTAAAATTGTATATATTTTGCCATTGAAAAACTATTATTGTTACATGGTATTTTGATAGCTGACGACAAGTAAGCTTGCAGATTGATTAAATAACATCCCCATTTTTGAAGCAGTACTGCACAGTAAATTTACACAAATTAACATAAAACTATCTATGCACAGCACATACATACGCAATTGTATAAAACAGAAAACACTTACCTCACCAAGTCTTTATATAAAGCTTTTGTAGTTTCTAAATATGGGCCAACTACATCTTCAAACTGGCAAAGAGTTCCTCCAATGCAAAGATGCTTAAAAAGACAGAAAAGAAATTCCTTGCGATCCAGTTGACTGAATATGTCATAATGGTCTGAATCTTCCAGAAGCAAAACCTTGTGGAGCAATAAAATAACGAAGAAGTCAAATAGATGAAAATTTCTTATTTAAGTTTATAAACAATGCAACTACTTTGCTGTATGTCATACAGAGTTTACGTCCATATGAAATATATGAACTAGGGATGGAAATAAACAAGTACTTCTTTCTAAATCCTTCTTCCAGTCATGCACTTATGTTCAAAATTTATAGATACAATATAAAGCAGAATCACTGTCAGGTTTGTGCCCAGAAGATGTAAGGGAAGATTTTTCAAGAGTCTTGTTATTCAGTGGTTAATTGTTCATCATGCTAATGAAGCAATCAATAATAAGAAAATAATCTAACTATATTTGCTATGTCAATCACTGCCAATTAGTTTGTCTTTGGTAACTTTGCCTACGTTTCCTTTTTTATTCTAAGTTTAGAGTTATCTCAAATTTGTAAAGGAATCCCAAGGATCTCCCAGAGGAGATCACTCGAACTCACATCATTCTTTACTGCAGACTCTAGTGAGACTTTATCTGTGGCCTGCATTAACTATACATGCTATCCAGCTGCCTCTGAGCGTCTCACCTGCCTTTTGCTGCAATATTATGTGAACACAGAGGACTTGCTAGTTTAGTCCCACCACTCCACACTGGAAGGGTGGACAGGAATTGTAACTCCGTATGTCTACAAGATGTTTGAGTCACATTGGGCAAACTGCAGGTGCCAACCTAGGGAAACTGGTCAAAGCTAGACATGAGCTTAACGCTCTCTGGCCCTCTCTATAACATCATTACACAACCTGAGCAAAAAGGGGTCAGGGCAGCAACTGTTGTTGATGGCCACCTCATACGTATCCCATCCCCCTTTCTTGGTTGAAGGGAAAGAAGTCGGGGCAGGTAGTAAACATGGAGTTTTGCAGCTGAAGGCTGCTCTCTGACACCAGGAGATAGACGGTTTGCTGCCCCCTACAGTCTACCGTCCCAGGGCACTGGGTACTTTAATCGGAAATTTTGATGTTCCTGGAAGATTTTCACTCCCAATTCTTTCTGCCATTTTAGGTCTTACAAGTAGGAATCACATTTATTTCAAACAAATGTGAATCCTTCAACTTGCAAATGCAGACATGCATGATCCTTCCAAGCGAAAGAAAATGGAAAGAGACTTAAACTCCAATGATTTCTTATTTTAAATGTTGCCTCTAACTTTCCTACATCAAATATACTTAATTTTCAGAAAACATTTCACACATACCCAGCTTAGAAATAAATACATAGCATTTTGAACTGCTAGGCTACAAACCACATCTGAAATTCAAACACGAGCTTGAGTTCTCTCCTTTTCCCAGAACTTTACAAGACAGACCAGTATTTCAGGCCACATCCTGTAACCAGTGTCACTGGTTCAAATACATTGTCTTCAAAGGATTTGCCAAGTGCAAATGAGTGCAACTCTATAATTAAGTATTTATGTTGATTATATATACAAGGAAGAGCAAAATCCAGTTCTCCCACACTATGCTTTGCTAACACTAAACAAACATAAGTAAAAAAAAAAATTGGTTTAGCTTATGAAGTCAAAAGAAACACTTATAGTGAAGACATACGTTGATTAAGAGGGTGCCACTGTTAGAGATATTCTTTTTCAGAATAATCTGCTCTCTGACACCTCCACTGGAGTTTAACAAACAGTTTTTACCAGGCCTGTTCAGGAGTTATATTTAGTCCTTTTCCAGTGTTACACTGAAAAATAATTTCCCATTTCATAGTTTCCTCTCCCTTCTTTCAGTGAAAATACATGAAGACGACTTTCCTTAAATGCCTTCGCATATTATATGGTCAGAATTCCTAGCCAGGAACGCTTCAGGATGTAGCTATTGAGTACGTTCAGTTTCACTGACTACTTGAAAGGTTGGGTGAACCCACAGCTCTGGGTATCCTGGGGCCTTTCCATTGGCACCAATTGTTTTTCCCTCCTAGGCAAATGAGTAGCTGCGTTTCCTGCCCCTCACATACCCAAGCACTGACTACTTGAGACAACGGTGGGTAGAAGAAGGTTTTACCTTTTTCTTGCACCTAAAAAGGAAAGATGGACCATCTGGGAAACAGACATTGCTTTCACACATTCAGGCACTGCAGTGCCTCAGTCATTTCTATCACATGGCTATTGATGCCTATTTTTACTATGGAAAATATATATTGTTAGGAAAAAAAAGTACTGAAAAATGTGTCCTTGCAGTACCTAATAAGTACTAAAAATTATAAGAAATTGTTCATTGCTATACTGACCTTCCTTAATTCATCAGAGATGAGAATATCATCATAATAGTCATCATAACATTTCACAATATCTCCAGTTTCTCTAACAACTCCTTCATAGTATAGGCGATCAAAAAATGACATGGAAATCTGTGTACAGGGCACCACTGTAGCTTCAATTTTTGTCACTTTGGAACCTGGAATATATAGGAAGGCCTCACTCCAAGTCTCTTGCAATAAATAAAATAGAATTTCCACATACTAATGGTTTTACAGTAATTTGTAATTCGATGCAGTGTGGAAATAATAAATTTCTCTAAATGGTTGTGTGTGGCATATTCTTTTAAAAAAATACAGATCACATAAGTATGACTCAATCACACAGTCCTCAAAAAACGAAGCAAGCTAAGAAAGAAACAAGTATATAGAAAACACCAAGTTCATCTGAATGCTACCTGCCATTCAGGCCCATGTGTCTGCTCCTCCTGTTGGTAATAGTATCGCCCAGAACAAGTAATAGATGAAACATGAACTCAACATGACATCAGAACACACCCTTAGAAAATCATATTCCACGACTTAAGCCTTAAAGAATCTGTGGACAAATACCAAATCTGGCATGATGAAGTACAAAAGCCAATAGTTGCTAACAGCACCCCACAATGTAAAAACCAAAATGCACACAGTCCTGATAAATTTTTGGTTAAGTATTATATCTGAACTTTTTAAAAAGTTATTTTGTAGCTACTGTGAGATTTACTAACCAGCTATTTCAGAAGATGAAAAAGGAACTATCAGAGCACTTTCTGTATGAATCTGAAGTATTATCTCTGTAATCATTAAGTGAAGTGTATGTTTTACTATACTTTTTTCTGTTTTCTGTGCTTGCAAGTCATCCAAGGCTTGATCCTGTCACTCACAGACATCTAGTGCCATTTGAGATGCCCTACAGTATTTTCCTTGATGAGGTATTAGTCCATAAGGCTATATATCTTCTCTATATACAGTTCTACATCTACAAATCTGTATGTGTGCTGTTGGATAACTTATGGCATCCCAAATAGCATCAGACTCCATGTTTAAGAAGCTTTGGACTCAGTCCAGTTCCATCTGCTCACTACAGTCCAAGTGTTCAGACCAAATGTTAGAACATATTCTCTACTCATTTCCAAGTCCCCCTGAACACCCTTCAGAGGGCTTCTGAATAGGAGAGCGTGAGTGAACATGAGCACAAGTGAGCATGCAAGACAAGGGCAGTATGTCTTGGCAGAGGCAATATTCACAGCATTCCAGCTTTCCATGAGTTTACTCTTATCTTTTCCCCTCTGTAGGTTGCTTTGATGGGAAACTGGTCAACAACATCACAAAATCAAAAGGCTTTTGAACATACAATTAAAGATAAAATTAAGTCGTGTCCGGAAAAACAGACCTAAAGAATCACTAAAGACTAGCATTTAGGAAATGTCCAAATTTCACTCTAGGTGACAGTATTTCAGGAACAAAAACATGCCAAAAAGGGGTATATGAACCATGATGCTTCCAAGAGCAGCTATCATTTAATTCTGATCCTAATCTTTGCAAGTGTAGCATAATCTAAAATTTCTCTTGCCCCCACACTTCCTAAAAGTCTTTGGGATTTCTTCCATATATTATTACATGAAGATTATTTATTCATGGGTTAAGTAGGACTGGCATTTTGGTATCTAAACCCAAGCAAACTGTACCACCTACCTGATCAACACTAAAAAAAAAAAAAAAAAAAAAAAAAAAAAAGAGAAGTTACAAGCTGATGGCTTGAAAATGTGTCTACTTAAACTAAAAATACTGGCATTAAATTTTATCATTATTTTACTGGGTCAATGTGATGTAAAGAAATTTGGCTATAGAGAAAAGCTTGGCATTTAATTGCTTGGCTTCACATCTACATACTTTTTATTAAAGAAAGGGTTTAGGACATTCTCCTACCTGTCCACACAGTGACTATCAAAAAATAATCACATTATGTAACCAAAATCACAAGTCAGAAAAAACATGACTTACAGCCTCACAACCTAAGAAAAAAACCCAGAGTAATATTTATTTATTTACTTATTCATGTTCTGTCCTACCCCCTCAACTCCAAACTCCTCTAACTTCTAATTCTCCAGCTTCCTTTCACAGGGTTTTTTTATTTTATAATAATTTTTATTTTATTACTTAGTAAGAACTAAATAAGGCTCCAGTATAGAATTGTTTTTTAGAGACCTATGAATCAAAAACTGAGTCAAGACTAGTAAAAGTCAGATGTTAAATGACTTGATAAAAAAGAGACATCTTAAATTTTCCTAGTTATTGAGCTCAAAGCATAAGAAATTGAGCTCCATATAGCCCTTCAAGTTGTTATGATTTTACTGGGGGAAGGGCAGGAAAGGAGACACACTCCTGCTCTGAAAAAATATTTTATGAAAACTTTCAACAGATAAAAAAAAAATCAAGAGCTTTGTAATCTATTCAGTAGTTGAGAAAACAAAACTATAAATGGAAAAGTTAAATATACTGGAAGCTCCTATTCTCCATTTGAGAGGTGAGGTTTGAAATTGGAGATTCAGAATTTCCTGGAAAAGAGTGACCAGCTTTAATAACACTGTAAAACTGAGCAATAAAATAGGAAGAAGAAATGCCTTGACAGCTCTGCAAGTAGAAAACAAAGAGCCGAGAAGTACTGAAGCAGATTAAGCTTCTTTTAACAGCTAGCTCTGGAATATCTATAAAGTGCTGCCAATATACTTTTAAATGAACACATTTCATATCTAGTATGGGGCAAATAAACCCTAAATTAGGTATATTTAGAATTCCTCCAAAGTTTAACAAAGAATTTTACCTCAGGGAAACATCTTGCAACTTAGTATTTACAGAACAGTTTATACAGAACATACATCTGTACTAAGAAGATGGTATTTCAAAAGTTAAAGGTGCAGGCTGATGATTTATAGGTTCAAATAGCATCTAAAACTTTTGCAAATGATAACCCATAGCAGTAGTCTAAAAACCTGCTGATTTAAGATTACTTTCCATATTTTAAAACCCCATTCAAAGACAGCAATCATTAGAGCTTCGAGTACATACAACTCAAGAATCTTTCTTAGGCAAATACTAAATTTTTATTTACACAAAGAGACAGCAAACCTACCCATTTGAAGATAATTTTTTGAATGTTAATTGAGCTTAAACAGATACAGTCCTGCCTCCCCAAGACTGCTGACAGGTGTAAGGCCAGTAATGTCTCCAAGGAAAAACTACTATTTAGTTTTCATTGCAACTATTTAGAAATACAAGACTCAAGACATAAGCTGTTATGCATCAAATTTGTTCCTTTTGCTGCTTCTGTTTTAGAAAGCTGAGAGTAACAGATGAAAGAGGGGCTTAAAACACATGACAGAACTATCAGGTACTCTGTCATGCAGCCAGGAGAGCAGAAAAAATATCCCTACTACAATAGGCGAAAAAGTGTGGTATGAGAGTAGGTAATTAAGTAACTGCCTGATCAAATGAAGCAGACTAGACAATATCCTTGTGTATTGTTTACCTAAAATGTTATATTTCAAGTAATGTTAAAGCTGGAGTCCTTGAGACAATGTACTACTGTGGGATTCTACCAGGATTCCCAACACATGGGGGAACTGAGAAGAGAGGTACATGTTGTGTTCCTTGGGGACCCCATGTTTTACACCACCTTTTGATCTAACAGATGGAGACGATTACGATCTGGTAATATTAAGGTGAAGATGAAAAGCAGTCAAGAGAAGAAAAAAGTTAGACAAAGGAAAAAAAAAACTTTTAGAAACAGATTTTAGGAAAAGGAGATAGAGAAGTAACAGACAAGAGGTAGAGACAAATATGAAAGGGAAACCACACCCACTGAATTAAAAAGAAAAATGAACTCTTAGTGAGAAGGTAAAAAGAGACCACAGCCTGGAAAAAGACAAAAGGATTATGAAAACAAACTCTTTTGTAAAGTCATATAATATAATTAATAATCTATTCTATTCTATTCTATTCTACTGACATCTTTCTGTAGGTCCATAAATACTTTCTGCCCCAGCTCATGGGGGGGCACAGAAGGGAGGTTTTTCCAAACCTGTCTAAACACCACTTATTTTATGCATCCGAAATAACTCCCCATCTGCAGAAAAAAACCTAACGTTTTTGTTTGCAAGAGAATAAATACAGCATTTGAATCAGCATACATTATGCAATTGTCATCATATTTAATAATAAGCAAAATAAGTCCAATTTTCAGTATTTTCTTTCAAGCACAGTAACTTGGTTTTTATAGTTACTCCAGAGTGATAAGTAAATGATATATCTGGATTACTATATTGGCATGTCTGAAGAAGCAAATACTAGAAGATGATATTTTACCTCCTCCCACTCAAAGCTAATTCTTACTATATTTTCAAAAAATGCACATGAAGACTAAGTATAGAAAAATGTGCCAACATTCCTCACCAAAAATAGGCAAAGAATGGGAAGATGAAATTTTAAGAGCAAATGGGGTATACCAGCTGTTCAGGATTTAGAAAAGGAACCCTTCCAGTCCTCAGAACAAAATGCATTACTTCTGTGCTGAGGAAGATTGAGCAGAATCAGGAGTTAAGCCAGGATACCTGGCAAGTGACTCTCCGCTCCTAACACAAGGTATGTAACCTACTGACCTTCACTACAGGGACTGGCAAGTCACAGGCTAGACAGATGGCCAAAAAAAATTCTTGCCTAAATCAGGAAAAGTTTTACCCATGGTTTGAAATACATTTATTTTCTTTTTGCTTGCCACAGTGAAAAAGAGGTACCTGAAAGGGAGCTTGAGATATTTTTTGCATCTTGTATATTTCATTTAACAGCCGGATACAGTGTTTGGAAAATGGAATTTGCTGACAAAAAGGTGGCAATGTCTAGTGTCATTGTATATAGTAGGGAAAATCTATGTCAATTCCAGAGAGTTGAAATGGAGAAGTTAGAAAATTCCCAAAGGCCCATTAGATATTTACACACAGTAAAGTATTTGCAGACAAACCAAAAGAATTGAGGACTTGCCACTACTCCCTTTTAAAACATTCCTATTAAGGAAAATCACTTTGGTGATATCAGAGTTCACATTATGCATAAAACCCCATTACATTAGCACATGCAATTTCCATGAAATTTTGTGTATTGTTTACATAATCAAAAATACAATTGCAAAGCGGTGCCATAAAATCATGTGCTGTTTGCTTTTGGTCTTCCTCCTTTAGTGTCACATCTCCATCTACAGACATAATCAAGTGTTATAATATGTTAATGATATGGAAACAAACTAGAATTCAATGCTATGCTACAACTGCAACTAGAGCAACCTATCACATGGCTCTATGCACCCAGATCACTTCTGTGGTGCAGACGGCGTATTTACACAAGCTCAGGGCTGTGCTATATCTAATCTTCTGTTCTCTTGTCTTTAATTTGTAACAGAGCAATAATCTCAGATCTGTCTTGAGTAAGGTGGTTGCATCTATAGAAGAGTGTCTTTCTCCAAATATTATCTGAATAAGGTAGTACTATAATTCCACAATTAATGAAGTTGATTATGTCTGGATACATGATCATGTGAACTGGATGTCACGGACCATTTAAAAACACTTCTAGTAGTTTGGTTTATGGATCAATGCAGGGATCAGGAAAAAAAAAGTGTAAAATGTGACAAATTAGTAGCAAACTAGGTAAGAATCTTTTCTTATTATTTAGTAAAAGAAGTCATTCTTTAAGGTACTTCAACCAGGTATGTGTATATGAAGTGTCATTATTACGAAATGGTAGAGGAAAATAGTTACAACACAGACTTTTTTATTTAAGATTAATTTGTTCTAAATTTACCCAATGTAGTCCATTGTCCTGAAGCTGAGAGCAACTTTAAACTGGAGTTGACATTTTCATCATTAAAAAATGCCTATAATGTCCAAACAAGAGAATATAAGTTAATGAAATGAAACATAAATTCATCACTTATAGTGCCTTGGACACTTTTCAAGCAAATTATAAGGATCCAGTTAGTAAGTAGATTCTGTACAATCTTTCAGTTTGGATACTAAATATCACATCACCAGATATATGTTCTTGTTAACTCTGTGTAGCCAGTGTCTTTTATATATTCAAGATATATTCCGGTACATATTTATATATGCAGTATTAAGCTTTTATAGTAAAGCACTTTTAGTCCAAGAACACACAAACAGGTTGTATGAAATCTTTGGAGATACAGAAAAAGAAAGAAGAGATGAAACAATTCTATCTCTCCATGCAATGTTGTTGAAGTAAAAAGTGAAATGCTAAGTATGATTGCAAAATTTACATTTTGTAAATAAATTTGAAGCTTGGAGAAGTGTAGAGACACACAATAATTATTAAACGGATACAGAAGAAATCCTTAAATTATTGAAGGGATGGAGAAGATGTTCCACAGTAAGATTTGAAGCATTCAATCTTATGGATTTATAAATTTAAAAAGGGAGACATGCATAGTAATATTAGTAGCTGACAAGCTTAAATGATAGATAAGCCAATTAAGAAAACCCACACTTATGTATATTTATACAAGCAGAGTGAATAATAATTGAAGGAGCTACTAAGAAAATGATGGGTTTTTCAGTCTCTGCATCACCAAATCTCTTTACCACTTCTCTGGGATAACAAGAGATCAGACTATATAATGTAATGATCCCTTTGTTCTCAATTAATTCACAGCTACTCAGAGCTCATCCTTTCATAGTGATAGTTTTACATTTTTAACTCAAAAGATCCAAACATTGAGAAGGTAAATGCATATTTTGTAAACTTCAATCATTTTAAATGTTTATCAGTGGAAGATGAAATATTGGTGTACTTCTGTGTGAATTTCTTTAAAATACAAACAGGCTGAATTCTTTATTCAGGATAACAATATAAAGCAGACATACATCAAATCAAAGAGTTGTTTTTAAAACAACAGATGTAAAAAACACACTGTTTTTAAAACCACAGATTATTATTTTTTTCTGTCTGCAAATAGATGAACAGATTTGACTTTGCAGACAGTAAAAGTTGAGGGGACAAAATCAGCAAGTCTTGAGTCTCAAAAAGCTGAGAGCCCAAAATTCCAGTATAAAGCAATGGTATCCAATAAATTTTAAAATATTTTATTTTCAGATATGTGGTGCATATGCACGTCTAATTGCACAGTGTATTTACTGTGACTTAGATGTAGTGGCTGTGAGCAAGAGTACCAACTGCATGTACCCTGTTTAGTCTCCCCTGGGTGAACTTCCCAACATTAAATGTAGTGATCCAGTTCAGATTCCCATTCTTGGGAATGTTGAATGACTAAATTGTTCCCTCTTGCAACAGAGTAGCATTAGTACAGATTGAAATATTTTTACTGAACAATACAGTTAATTTACAAAGAATTGAGCACCACACCTAAATCACCTACTTCCCAGGAAACAGCAGTCAAACAGCGTGTTAACACTGCTACAATGTTTGACATTGTGCAGTTTTCCAATAGCTATAATTTCATGGAAAAAAAGTCAACTTAAAATATAAAGGACTTAGAACTACCATAACAAACTCATCCTTTTGATAGGGCTTAAACTGCTGGTCAAAACTGAATGCTTGTGCTGTGATCCTGCCTTGTATGGACCTGAAATGGAAAAATAAGATTAAATCTTCTGCAGATATACTAGGTACTTATTCACACTGCAAATTTGCCTAGGTACACTACATAAAGTCCTATTCTGACTAATAATTACATTTTTTTCTTTTTCTTTACTTTTAATTCTCGCTTATAACCGCCTCCCTCGCCTCCTTGGAGGGGTGGGGGAAGCACAACCGCTGCTCGAGCAGCATCAGAGCAACGCTCTGAAGCTGAAGTAGACCTTGTCTAACTTTAGAAGACAAGGATAAACGCCTTGCACCTTCAGAACATGCGTTTTACGTGCCTGAAAAACACCGAGGAGACTCCCAATTAAAGGTAAGGGAAAAAAAAAAAAAAAAAAAAAAAGAAAAAAAAAAAAAAAAGAGACACGGACGCGCGGCCACCAGAGCGGGAGCCCTGAGGGCGCGGTGCCGGCTCCAGCCCTCGGCACCGCCCGCCCTCTTCTCTCCCTCCCACCCGCCCTCATCGCTGTCCGCCACCCCCAGCGAGGCGCCTCTCGCAGCGGGCTTTCCCCCTCCCCACCATTTGAGGAGTCTGTCCCCGATGTCCCTGTCCTGCAGGCAGGAGAAAATTTTCTGGGGCAGGGAGTGGAAAACGAAGCCCGCCGTGCCGCGCCGCTCCCCGGCCGACATCTTCCAGCGCCGGCGGCGGCGGTGGCGGCGGCGGCTCGGCCGGTTGCCGTGGAAACGGCGCCGCGCAGGCGGGGCTCTGCCGGCGCGCACCCGCCGCGCGGCTCCGCCCCGCTCGCGAGCGTTCCGCGCACCGACGGGACCGCCGCTCGGCCCTTCCCCGCGGGGGCAGCGGGGCGCCGCCGTCCCCCTTCTGACAGGATTTCTTTCATTTTTACCTGTAAAACCCCCAAATGAAACGTCAGTCTTTTTCCCCCTCCCCTCTGCTTCTGTCTATGCACCGGGAAAACGCAGGTTTGCCGAAGGAGGGCCTAGCAGACCAGCACGCAAAGGCAAGGACTGCCGTTGCTGACTTAATCTATGCTACCCCCCAGTAACATAATGCCAAAACAAGTTCTGAAAAAAGCTGAGTTATGAATTACGAGGTTCTAATGAATCAGGGTTGCCTCTTGCTTCTCAGGGTGTTGAGCCATTTGGGAATAGCAAGGCCATGCTTTCAAGCTCTTCCCAGTGGAAAATTTAAGGAAAGTACATCATTACTTAAGGAAGTTATTTTTAAAAGTCCAGTAAAGCAAGAGGCACCTTGCAAAATTTGGGGAATTTCCTGCCCTTTGCAGGGAAAGCAGAGAGAGTTTAAGGCTGCTGCACATCTCACGCTATATCCTTTAGCAATCCACCCCCCTTCCAAACCAGCTCTCACTTGGCTGCAAATCTCCAAAAACAACATTTTCCCATTAATCTGCTGCTCAGGCTAAACAGCAGCCCTGTTTCTAAGAAGTTTAGCAGTAGTTGTATTTGTTTCTAATAATAATAAAAATAAAGCTGAATCCGATTTGATTAGAAAGCAGCAGAGAAAGGTGCAGCGTGCCACAACGGTGGGGAGCAAAACTGAAACTGCCAATGTGTACTCCTGTGTCTTATCAGCCTCTCAAAGATGTCCTACAGATTTAATCTGTAAAACATATTAGTCAAACAGGCTCGACCAAAGGAATCCAGAAGAAATAGATACCATAAACCTGTTAAGAAACCCTGTTTTAACATAGTTTCAGTAGAATTCATTGCTCACTACATACTTACTAAATTTTGTAAGAGTGCTTACGGCAGAGGCTGCAGTTCAGCAGACCAAGTTGTTGTGTAGCAACTATGTGACATTTAAGGAGCCATTCCCCTCTATCTTCTCCATTCTGTTTCCTCAAAGCGTTTTCCCACACACTTCCTCGTTTTTACAAAAAAATGTAACTTACACCTAAACAATAGAAAATAAAGCTATGCTATACTTCAAGATGTTTAAATGGTAGAGATAGTTCAAGAGGGGATAAAGAAAAAGTATGCCTTTCTTCTTAGTATTTAAATATGATCTAAAGAGCAGGCACCTGAAACAAATTATGATAACCTTATTCTCAACATGTCTCCACCTAATCCAGCGCTACCCCATCTGTTAAATTCCTCTTGCCACTAATATTACTAGCCAGAGATTAAATAGCCAAAGTGAAAGAACTGGTTTGGGCAGGGAGTGATGTGTAGCAACAATGACCAAACACATACATTCTTAATTTTGAGTTGTGTGGACTCAAATACAGGATTAAAAAAAAAAAAAAAAAAAAAAAAAAGAGTGAAACTTTAGGTCTTTTGGAGCAAAAATTCCTACTGACTTCAGTGAGGATTTTCTCTGATTAAAGTGTTGAATCAACAAGCATATGCTCAAATCCCACTGAAATCTAGAGTGTTTAAATGCTTTGATGAATCAGTGGTAAGGAAATGAGTAAGGACTTCAGGACTGGCTCAGAAGGATCAGGACAGGAACTCTAAACTATGGAACTAATTTCTTTGATGTTATGCCATCTACCTATCATAGTTTTATAATTCAACATTTCCAGTTTTAAGCAGTTTACAATAATAAAAGTTAAACTGGGACTTTCAGGTTAAACACTGGCCTCATTATCCTCTGATGTCATTCACATGAATGAAGTAGAAAGTCAGGTACAGCACTCTTTTAAACACAAACATTTGACTTGTTTTTTAAAAAGTTAAGGATTTTATGGTCTCACAGAAGATATTTAAAGGGTGGAAAATATATTTTTCTGCTGCAGAATGAAGTCTTGTAAGTATATATTATTAAGCAATAGTAGTCTCTCGCTTTTGACCAGACTAATTTTCAGCATTGTTTGTTTTTCACATATTTACTTATATGTGATTTTTGAAGAGTTTTACAGTCCTGAATAAACTGTGGGCCTTAAGTGCAAAGCAAACAAACCAGCCTTCCCATGGCAAACAAAAGTCAAATTACAGAGGACCAGCCCTGTTGCACCTTTGTGAAGCGCATCAGTCTTTAAGGCAAAGGTCAGCTGGTGACCAAGCAGCGGCCGGTTCCAGTCGGGGAGGTAGCAAAGAACCTGAACAGCAGCTCCTCCCTCCCTCCTGCAGAAGTTTTCAGTGTCACTGAGGGATAGTGAAGCTGCATGGGAAGGGATAATTATCAGTATACATCTGTGAAATAAATTAGTCTTTCCAGTGTTTAGATACTGTTAAGAAAAGTCTGATGGAGAGTAAATTAAAGTCCAGATCCTGCATCTTGTCTGCAACAAGGACTAGAACCCCCCAGAACAGAAAGCACTGTACACTACAGTGAAGTGAAGCAAAAGACTTATCAAGGGGTATTGAGGTCCAACTGTAGGTGCTTGCCCTGATAAAAGATTCCACGTTCAAATCTGTGAGAGAGGCAGAAGCCAGTTATAAGACAATTAAAAATATCTCTAGATTAGCAAATAGGAAAGACTGTGGTATAGCTGAATTCACCCTTTTCTCCACTCGCAACCCCAAGTGTTGCCCTTCAGTAACCCAAGGCTGCAAGCCAGGAGTCCCTGTCTGCTCTGGAGGCAGGCTCTGGGTCCTCACGTGAAGGCAAGCATCCACACCTCTGCTTGCATAAAACTGCCAGAGCTTTTCTTTTAAAACACAACTAAAGTGCTCATGGTGGCCACCTTCGTTACCATGCACCTAGAGTCCTCACCTAGGAAGAGGGAAATCTGGATTTTAGCCTCTTTCAGCACGAGGAAGTCCAAGCTCACAACTTTCACATCTATAGTGCCTCAACTACTAGGGCTGATGTCATGTCCCCTGAGTTAACCTGCCACTGTCCTAGGAAGCTTATTTCTGGATCACAGTGTCAGGATCCTGCAGAGACTCAGCAACCACTTCTTCCCAGTGATGTCTCTGGCTGCACTCAAGGCCAGCTCTGCTGTGACCCTGGATCAGACAGCAGAGAGAAGATCTGGGTGGACAGAGCTGCCAGGCATCTCAGTGGGGGCCTTTTCCTCCTGGTTTAGGATCTCTGTTTCAGTCCCAGCTTCTCACTGGAGATGCGTGGACAGCATGCCTGTGCCTGGTCATGAATCTTGCCAATCCTGAGCCTGACTTCAGGCTCAACCTGTCTCAGCAGGACAGACTGGTCTGGTGATCTGGACTCATTGGATGTGGTCACTGTCACCAAACCTACTTTGCTGTTCTGGTTGAGGTGCTGCAGGACAGAGCTGTGTCGGGGAGGGCACTGCCCCACCAGCCCTGCTGTCATCCTCAGCTCCCAGCTCAGCCCATTTTACAGGGCAGCCCCCTCTTGCTGCTGCATGACCCACAGTACGTGGTAAAAAGATGGTTATTTTTATGTTAGATTTGTCCATGTTGCCCGTTTTAGTTTAATCAAGTTGGTATATCTGAGTGACTGTTCCATTAATAACCTCTGTTTCCAAAGGATATTTGATATATTGCTTTATAAGTCTGATACAGCGTATTATGAGTCTTCATTCAAAAAGCGATGCCAAAATAGTAAATTTACAATTTGCACCATAAAAAATATTTAGAGATAAGTAGTAAAGAAAATACATGAAGCTAAATACCAAAAGTAAGTTGAGCATCAAACCAACAAGCATTGCAATGTCTAGATTTTCTTTGGTCCTCAAAAAAGAAACACAAGATGCTGGAGATGCACAGTAAGAATTAGAGTGAGGCCCAGGAAACTCAACACAGTGTGTATAACACCACCCAGGCCTATCAGTGCGGGAAACAAAGAGGATTCATGTGCTTAAGTCTCATCTGCCTATTACAATTCATGTACTCCCCTGGAGATTCACTGCCTCTCCTTTGAAGGCTGGTGTCTAAACACCTTTTCTCTAAATCAGGTATGGGTTGCTGTTTTTTTTTTAAACCCATCAGAAGAGAAAACAATTACTGAGCTGCTATTCCCCTTTTCAAGCGATACATGAGTTGTTCATGCACGCAAGTAGCAATTAAGATGCCCACTTGCAAATTCACCTTATGTTTTGAGAGTTCAGTACTATACCCTGTTTCTTCTAGGACTGCAGGACAAACACAAACAGCTCACATACATAGTTTTCATACACAGTTTACATACAAAAGCTTACAAGGTGTCTAGGTGATTGTATCTCAGAAAATGTTTCTCTGTGTAGAAAATAACATTTTACTATAGTAGTTGGAGAACATAAACATAAATTTGTTTGTATAACTGTTTGATTGGGGCCTTTAGGAGGGAGAGGGCAACTCTTGGGCCTATTCAAGTGCCAAAGACTGTTTATTACTTCTGTCCAGTGACTGCCTGGATAATATGAAATATTGAATTTAGGCATGCAAATTCTTCAACAATCCTATTTTAAATGCTTTTTACTGACTCTGACTATTTTTTTTTTCTCCATATTATTTGTAGACAATTCTGTAGCCATACTGCAAGGTGTTCTGTTAGTTATTCAGCACAGTTTTTACATTTATAATGAGAACTAAATTTTGCCTGTAGACACACTTTTGTTTTCATTGATTTTTGATCCTCATAACTTCTCGTCTTGAAAACAAATTCCTTTAACGTGTAACAGTTCCTCTCCCTTCTACATGCATGATTACAGCAGCGGGCTACAGGATGTGCTGCTTTTCTCTGGACAATAATCAGGGTATTTGTAGGATGTCCAGATGCTGGAGGCTTGATTCAATTGCCAGAACTTGGTGTGTGCTACCATTTAAGATCCCTCTAGGGACCA